TTTATTGAAAACCAAAAAAGCCAGCATTTCTGAAATTACCAAAGAAATTAAATCTTTTTTCATTCTAGTCCTAATCCTTTCTTCTTTGGATTACAAAAGACAAGAATATCTTTATCATAATATTCGCCCATTCATTAGAGATGAATTTAAAGACATTACTTGTTCAAGACCAACCTACACTGATAATGAATAAAATATTTTAGTCAACAAATTTTATTACTTTATTAGATTTTGTTCATTTCCTTATATTTAATCTTTTAATGATATTAATATTAAAATATAATATATTACATGATAAAAAAAAGAAATTAAAATCATGACATTTAATAAAAATGATATAAATACAATAAATGAAGCAAAGGAATACTCCAATTATTATAGAGGAGTTCTTAAACCAGAAGAAAAGGTTGTCTTTGATAGTAATCTTTTAAAACTAAATGACACTTTGGATAAAATACTCCTTCAAGATACTGCTCAATTATTAAACAATTGAAGAGAAGTCAGAGAAAAAATAAAAAAGGAAAAAATGGGTTTAAGTTCAGAAAGTCATAAGTTATTGGCTTTCATCTTAAAAGAGCAAAAAGTTAAATCTATTTCTTATCAAGTTGTTAATAATCTAAATGATAATAAACCAGTTGATAAGGTTGTTAGTCAGTTTGAAGATATTTTGTTTAGTGAATTTGATTCTGAATTTGATCAGAAAATTAAAGATAAAACAATTGCTTTAGAAGAACTTTTGAAAAAAGAAGAAGAAATAATTAAAGAAATTGAGAGATTAAGAAAAAAATATAATACTGAAATTGTTAAAAAACAGACTGATTTAAGAAATAAAATTGTTAATGTTTTAGTTTCTAAGTTGAAAGATAATCTTCAAGATACTGGAAGTGGTGATCGAAAAATTTTGGATAATATGATTAAAAGTAATAAAGAATATGCAAATCGAAGTTACAGATCTAATATATCAAAGACAACTAAGCATTATGGATCAGTTATCAAAACTGGTTATAATAGAAATGGTAAACCTTATACTCATTCTATTTATTTGACTAATGATTTACCTGGTCAAATTTGAGTCATTCTCAAAGATCTTGACAAAGATAAACTTTTTGAATATATTTCTTCTTTAGCTTGTACTTGAAATAATTTAGACAAAACTATGTTTAAAAAAATGTTTGGTCAAATTGTAGATTGGAAAAAAAGTGAATTTAAAAGTGGTGGTAATAATAATTCAATAGATTATTTTGATGATTCAGAAGGAAGTTTTGAGTTTATTAAAACTTGTTTTACTTATAAAATTGATAAGACAATTGAAATAAGGAGAGTGTTAAAAAAGAGATTAGATATTTTAGTAATGTACTTTATGTAATGCATGCTCTCTTTCCCAAAGATAGCAATTACCAAGATAGTCCTTTCTTAAAAGTTGGTGAAAAGAGTTGTTTGCAATTTAAGAACAATAAAAGTATAGATACTTCTTATACTTTTTATTGAAGAAGAACAGATGCAAGCATTATTTGAAAGAATTATTTTGTTGAGAGTGGAAGTGCAAGTATTCTTAAAGTTTCTTTTGACTTTGAAAAAAAAACACTTAACTTAAGCAGATGGTCAAATTCCTGAATTCTTTTGACAAGTTTATAATAATAATGAAGCCATTGATTTTAGTGAATATAATACAGTATTAAGCAGTGATGCAGTTAGTCTGAAAAAAATTTGTGAAAAGGAAATAACTGTTTATGAGAAAAAATTAAGTAGTGAAACATTATCAATGTTTCATCGCTTTATACTTAGAAGTAATTATAGGGATTATATTAAGAATTTAGTCAAAAATGGCATGGATGCTGATGGAAAAAAATGATTAACAGATAATGAATATAAATTAGTTGAAAAAGAGTTAGACAGAGTTGCTAATAAAGTAGCATTAGCTACTATGAAATCTCTTGCAAGTTTCAGAGATAATGTAAGAGCATTGGAGATTGATAAGTTAGAAAAAAGAGCAATTGGTTTTAATTCAAATCAGATAAGATGGCTTGTTATTAAATATAAAAAAAATAACAAAGTTACTGATTCAATAATAAATTTATGAAATGAATTAAAAGGAGAAGGTGCTAAGTTAGGTAAGAAAGTTGATAAATTAAGAGAAATTAGTTCTAAATAAAGTAAAGTCAACAGCGAAAAAGAAGCAGCCAAAAAAGTAAAAGAAGATGCTAAAAAATTACAGGCAAGTAGTTTAATTATTCAATTTAAAACTTTCTGAAATAAGTCTGATAAGAGAAATTATTGAGAGTTATTATTTATGCGCAACATTTTGGGATAGATTAAAAAGTGAGAAAGTTTAAAAACTGATGTTACTTTTGATCCTGCTGCTGAATTAGCCAAATTAGATGCTGCTGAAACTAATAATCAAAGTAAATTAGCTAAATATAATCATTGAGTAAAACATGATACTCACTTTACGAAAAGATTAGAAAACTGAAAAAAAGATGATGGTAAATACTTTAATGAGGAAGTTGTAAAAAATTATTTGCAAAGTATAAAAGATTCTTTGGAATTAGTAGGTCGGGAACTAGATTCTGTAGAATAAAATGAGTTAGACCAAATTAATCACTATATTGAAAATGGTGAAGTTTTCATAGAAGAGAGAATTCTGCTTATAGAACTAAAAGGAGCTTTAGAAGTCAAAACTAATATGTTTAGTGATCTAACTAAAAAATGAATCAATTATTCTCAAAACATTAATTTCAAAATCAATGTTAATGAAATTAAAGAATTGGCAGGCAGAGTTAATAAACCAGGAGCTAAAATCAAAACCTCTGAGTTAATTAAATACTGCAAAGAAGTCTTGGCTAAAAAATCTAAACTAATAGAAGATGATACTTATGATCTTTCCAATCTAAGGGATAAAGATCGTGATTGATTAGATTGATTCTTTACCTGAGACCCTGAAATAGTGGTGGAAACAATTGCTTTACAGAAAATCAAAGCAGATAGTAATCTCAAAAAACAAATTCTGAAAGAGATAGAAGATTATAAAGAAAATCAAAAAGGATTAGTTAGGTTAGATCTCTCAGTTTATGAAGATGGTAAAGAATTTACTGAAGAAGAAATCATTAAATACTATGCTAAAAAGTTAGGAGGACAAAATTATGCCAAGAAGCATTATGAAAAGCCTTTTGAAGATAATCAACAAGAAGGTTTCTGAAGAATTAATAATCCTTCTGCTTGAGCAGCTGGAGGAGAAATTCTTTTATTACTAAGTAGTCTTGGTTGAGTTATCTGAAAAAGAAAACTCCTGGCTCAATGATGAAACTCCCCTACTGAACTAGAAGAAGAGGATGATGAAGAAGATGATGATTAATAATGATTTGTTTGTTTATTCTGCCAGTTTTCTTTTCTTTCTTAGTTTATTATAAGTTGAGGTTAAGGTTTGTTTATTGTTTATTTTTTTTTGTTCCTTTTGGTAAATTTCATAAATAATTTTTTCTTAATCTAGATATTCCTGGAGAGTTTGGGTGTCATTGATTTTAAAAATGTAAAATGTAATTTTCTCTTCTTGAGCTTTCTTTAAAATGCTTCTAATGATGCTATAATTCTTTGGTTCTATAGTGAATTTAATGTAAATTAGTTTCATATTAATATTTTATATAGGGATATTCCTATATTAATTCTGTTATGATTTATATTCATTCTATTCTGGTATAATAAGAGGAACATTAAAATTAACAAGTCTATAAGTTATGAATGAGCACTATTATTACTTTTCAAAATGTCATCAGTTACCCTGATCAGTTTTACAGCCACATCATCATCAGCCTCTCATTTATTATTATGTCACATAATAGAATGTTCACTTTGTCTGGTTTTGTTGCAGTCTACCCCATATGTTAATCAATATATTTCATGTTATAAAATTTTTAATTAAAAAATAAACTTAATAAACTTAACTTTTTTGGTTATAAGTTTTATTAAAGTATTAAATTATTTTTAATAGTTATTTTAATATATATATAATAAAAAAATAATTTATTTTTTTATAGAAGAATATAGTAAGTTAGTTTAATAAATTTATTAGAATAAAAAAAAGAATTAAATTTTACATACCTAAGTATTTTTTTAAAAATAGTTGTAAAAAATACAAGAATCTTGACTTTTAGTATTAAAAAAATTTAATAATTAATAAAATTATTAAATATATATTTAAAAAATAAATTAATAGATTTTATTAAATAAAAAATGAATAATATTTAAGTTTTATTAAATATTCAAAATTTAAAAAAACATATTATATAATAAATTTATTTTATAACATAGTTAATAACTTTAAGTGATATAAGAATTTTTTATTATGATCAACATAACTTTATAAATATGTATCCTTATAAGATATTACAATTAATATCTAATAATTCCATTTCTTACATATTAATAAAATCCATTTTTCTTTCATATAATTATATTTATCATCAATATTATTTATAATATTTTAAGTATAAGTGACTAAATTATTTAAAGTATATTAAAATTTACATTAATAATAATGTAAACTCTATTATTTATAGAATCACTAAAAAAAATTTTAAAATTAAAATTGATCAAGAAAATGAAATGGAATTAGTAAAAAAAATGATATACCTAAAGAATTATTAAAGCAAATATTTTTATTTAATAATATTTTAATTTGATTATTATTGATAAAATTCTAATTTTCAGATATGCAATTTATATATTTAGAAAGTATCTAATTATAGATATAGATAGATTTAAAAGAAAATTTTTTAAAAATGTTACCTTGAACTTTATAGAAATAAATTCATAAATTCATTTTCATGTGTCAAATGTATTTTTTCAAGTTATTTTAATTATATAAATTGACTATGTCACTAACCAAGATTTATTTTTGAATAATAAACCATTTTTTAATTAATATATCATTAATTATTTTATAAGATTAGCATACGACTAAAAAGGAAGAATCTAACACTCTATAAAGAACTAATAATATTATTATGCCTTTTCATTTCTATCATCTCTAATGTTATCATTTCTATCATCAAATGAATTCCCACGTTCTAATTTATCATAAACAATATTTTGTTTTCTATTTTGTTTTGAATCTTGATCTTTAATCCAAGTATAAAGACAAGTACCAAATAATATTAAAAAGATTCCACCGACACGACCAGTAGTTAACAAGTCACCAAAAATCAAATTCCCAAGAATAGTTTGTACAACCCCGCGAAAAGCTGAGGAGATCATATGAGTAACGGGTGAAGTTACTTTAATTTGAAGGAATCCTGCCACATTAATTAAAAAACCAAAGAATCCAGTAACCAAAATCCCAATTAAAAAGGTTTTTGATATGCCGCTAGAATTATTTTGAAATAATTCCGAATATTGATTTTGTTCTCGGAACAAAAATATTAATGGCATAAATGCAATAGCACTCAAAATATTATTATAATAAACCAAGTCTAACGTATTACCTTTTACCACGGTTAAACTTTTCTTAATGACAATAGCGTGCAACGCCGTTGAAATTGATGAACAAATACCAAAAGTGATACCAACAAAAGAAATTGAAAGTCTTTCAGAAGATACACCGACAAAAAATCCAATACATACAACCAAACATGCTAATAAGATTTTATGTGATGTTTTTTGTTTTAAAAACATAAATGAGAATAAAACTGTAAATGGAAGCACTAAAGCTCTTGCAACTTGATAAAAACTTGCGTCTACATATTGTAAACATATCGTATTAAAACTAAGTCCTAAAACATTTATTGCTATTAATGGTAATAATCCTATGCATTTTTTTTTTTCAAGTATTGGTAATTGTAATATACCGAATATGCTGGAAAAATGTAATAGAATGACTGCCATTACTACTTGAAACCAAAGCAATGTGAAAGGCAAGGGGACTCTATTTAACACCCACTGTTGATGTTAAAAAAATTGTGTTAATAGAATTTCTTGAACCTTCCCTCCAAAAAATTAAGCATTTAAAAATTACCTTATTCACAAATACCATCGTTAATGCTGTTGAAATGTAAAATGATACTGAAAATATGACCATACCACGACTAACTGTCTCTTGACTTTTACTCATTTTGATTTTTGTCTACAATGAAAGGGTAAAAGATAAAAAATGCGGGAAAGCTAACGCAAATTACACAATCCTATTCGATTTATTTGCCAATCAAATCATTGAATTTATTTTGCATCAAAATTGAAATTGAGCCATCTAGCCAATCATGATTATTTTTCGATAAAATGATAATTTTTATTTAAAAGCAAACCAATTTTCAAATTTTTTTTTTGCAAACAAAAAATTTGATCCGATTTTTATATGCTTTAAACTCTTTTATTTCCCCCCCTTTATTCCATATATGAGGTCATTTTATGACGAAATTAAATAATGATCGGCAAATTTTCCCATAGTACTTAAGATCATCACGAGTTTTTTTGAAATTTCAAATATTACTTAATTTAGAAGATAAACCGAGCATAACGATAAAACAAGCATTCGTTCGATACTTCTATTGTAATTTTTAACTTTTTTTTTTTGGTCTAAAAAACATAATTCATTAAAAGTTCTTATTACAATAATGTCAAATGCAACTCATAAATCTATCGCTCAACTTAAAAAGGAAGCTATTGTTGCTTATGAACCTAATCATTTTAGTATAAAGCAATGGTTAAATTCAACAAACAAAATACTCGATGCGGTATGTTATTTTACTAATGTTGCTGAATAATTTGTATTATGAATTTTTTAACATTAGTTTTTGTAGGCAAAATTAGCAAAAGAAATTAACGAGAACAATGCCAATGAAACTATATATGTAAATAATATAAGAGCTACAAGGTAAGTTCTTTTCATTTTATTTCAAAACTTTAAACGAGAGATTAATATCAACTAATACATACATACATACATACATATATATTTGTTCTTTCTTATTCAGTATATTATTAGAAATAATACCTAAACACAGAGATTATCATCATGAAATTTATAATCGAGCAGGATCAACTTATTCTGATTTCTTCAAATTAAGAAATGTAAGACTTTATTTATTTATTAGCATTTTGGTTTGTTTATTATAGTTATCAAATGTTAATTAATTAATTAATTAATTTTAGAGACTTGATAAGATTATGGCTGAAGCGGAAGAGGCGGCTAAAATATTGGAAGAAAGAGAACTCAACGAGAATATATTGGAGGGACAAAATGATCAGAGAAATTCGAATACTATATCATCATCATCATCATCTAACCCCATTCAAATGCCAATGCCTCAATTTTCACCAGCTGGGTCATCAAACTCGAATTCAGCATTAGATATATCAAATCATGGGTTCAACGGTCTTCCTCGTTCACCTGTTTATATAGTATCAGAAAATATGATTGGTAGTGTATCTTTAGATAATTCCTCAGATTCAATGATTCCAATGAATCCATCCGTTGCTGAAAGAGTAAAAAGTTTACAAAATAGAGGTTTAAACGTTGATAGGGTGCATTCAAATATCAATAAGTCGCTTGCTAAAGATACTTCATCTACGTTGAGTGGTAATACTTCGACTTCACCAAAATTATCAATGCCAACTCCGATTCCAACTCCTCCTACTTCGGTTAATAATGATAATTCGGTGCATAATAAAATATCATCTTCACCTACTACCTTGTCAACTGGATTGAATGCTCAACAATCCAATGTCGATTCTTTCCTTGATTTAAAGCTTTCGGATTCAATAAATGCTGGGGATCTGTTATCATTTTTTAAGAAAACTGATCACTCACCAACAATATTAATACTGGATGTTAGAAATAGAGAAGAATTTGATGCAGGACATATTAAAATTGATAATATAGTTTGCTTAGAACCACTCATTCTAGCGGAAGGGTTAGTAATTTAATAATTTTATTATCGTAATAGTTTAGATATTAATTCGCTTGAATTTTTTTATTTTTTGAAAAAAAAACAACAAATTAGAATTTCTAGCATAGACTTGGAAAATAACCGTTTAATACTTTCTCCAGTAAAAGAACAAGCTTTATTCAAGGATCGTGATAAATTTGATTTAATTGTGCTTCACGACAAGGATTCGACTTATTATCCATCAACAGGAAAATTTAATTCACCTTCAGCAATTGGACGTGGTAATATTTTGTCACGTTTAAAGTCGGCGATTTATGAA